GTACATCTGCCCAAGAAGACATGGAGCACATAAATGACTGCACAGAAGGATCATCACAGCTACAACTGTATCTTTCTGCTGAATCTGTGTAGAATGGAATCCGCATACATATTCAGCCATTGACTTCACTCTTAAGCAGCTGCCAAATTCTAACCAAATGAAAAAGTATTGGATGAGAAAACAGAGCTGGGAATGCAAATTGAGAAATGTAGTCAAAATGAGTTGAAGCGGTTCACAGAACTGGCAGATCCTTCTCAACTGTGTGGAATCAATGGGCCAGTGAAATCGACTTGGCATCAAGTAGCTGTCACAGTGGGCTGACTTAATCCAGCTGCAGGCTGAACACACATGTGCATATGCAAACAAAATCAACTTGCTAACAACCCTAGTAGAGTGGAGCACTTCATTTGAAACTAAAGCATGTCCATCTAATAGAGTCAAGTTTCAAATGGGATTCTTCTAGCTCTGATCTATAAATCCAGGCTGTAATGGCCTGGGACCTACATACCTTGGAGACCAGCTGCTTCCATATGAGTTCTCTTCCTCCAACTTCCTAATAGATATGTCTCTATTCTACGGTAGAACATCTGTGGTGAACAGCCAGGCCTTCACTGCTTTAGTCTCCAAGTTATAAAATGAATGTCAAATAGATTTGTGATGTATAAAAAGTCTTATACTGAGGATATGATTATCTTACTGCAAATGTACCTTGGAAATGTATGTTTTCTGTAGGTGCCAAAAACCTAGAATTGGTGCTTGTCTAATTTGGGAGTCCCAGAGAGGGGATGCTACTAATTGCTGAAGGCCCTATTCCAAGACATGATGGAACAAACTTCCAAAATCTTGGATACCAGGAGGGTATAGTGCAGCAACAACTGAGCAGGCCGCTATAGGATCAGGTGATCCCTTAAGTATCTTGGTTCTAGGTTTAGACCTTTGTAAAACAAGTGTCCAAATCTGTAACAAATAATTAATTGATGGAATTTCCTGCCACAAAATACCAATACTAAATTTACCAATTTAGTATAGTTTTAATTTAGACAGTTTTAAAATGGCATTATACAAATTCATGAATGACAAGAGGTCTGGTGAAACTTAAGTAGAAACTCTGTTTTCAGAGAGAGCTGCTGGGTGGAAGGCTATAGCTGGTCTCCATCTGAGGTGATGAACATCAAGGAAATGCCCGCACATCTGTTATTAATACAGCTACTATGAAGCTATGAAGTATTTCTATTTACATATCTTTATTTTATCCTCACAACAATTGCCCTGTGAGGTAAATTAGACTGAGAGTACATGACTGGCCAAAAGGAGTTTTATGGGCAAGTGAGGATTCGAACACTCTGCTTGCTGCCTGTCCATCATTCTCACCAGCACATCACACCGACTCTCAGGTTCTGGCTTGGTTTAATCTAGAACCCACTGATTGATCTTTCTCTCTGCCCAGCATCTTTTTTACTAAGCTCTCGTCCAGTACTATGTTTCAGAAATCTCTATTTTCTTCCTGTAAACTTTCTTCACTCTCCAGCTTTCAAACCCATACACAGTGACTGGGAATAAAATAGCTTAGCTGATCTTGGCCTTGATCTCCAGTGAGATGTCCTTATGCTTAATGATATTTTCTAGTTCTTTCATTGCTGCCCTTCCAAGTCTCAGTCTTTTTTTAATTTCTTGGGGGCAGACTCCATTTGAATTGATGATTTCAGTTCCTTCATTGTTGACAATAAACTTGTACAATTCTTCAGTAGTCATGATTTCAGTTTGCTTAATACTCAGCTTTTTCACTTTCTTCTTCCATGTTTATCAGGAGTCATTCAATTCATTGCTGCTTTCTGCAAGTAATATGGTATCAGCTGCAAACCTTCAGTTATTGATGTATCTTCTATTCCTCCCTCTGATCCTAATTCAGATTTCCTTAGATGTTCTGTGTAGAGATTGAAAGCAGACAGGAAAATAAAAATACACTTTTCTGATGCCTTTGCCTATAGGAAATTGTTTCTCTACATTCTGCCCCAATGGTAACTCATTTGTCCATAATATAGGTTATACATTGGGACAATCAAATGGTAAGATTGTCTTTCAGAATTTCTTTCAGAACATCTATAGCTTTACATTAGCCACAGTCAAAGGCTTTGCTATAGTCTATAAAACATAAGAATTGTATTCTCCTGCAATTCTTTTATATACTCTAGTAGCCCACATATATTTGCAATATAGTTCTGAGTGCCTCTTCCTTTTTGGAGTCCAGTTTGAACAAAGGCATTTCTACTTCCATATAGAGAACTGGCCAGAGAGCTTCAGCTGTGGAGCAGTATAGAAATAAATGAATTAAAAAATACTGCCTTGTTGCAACAACTTACCACTTTGCATGCATGGGAAATTAGTGCAATGGTTTTCTAGTTGCTGCACTCTCTTGCATTTCCATTCCTAGGGACTGAAATGTATATTGAACATTTCTCATGTTTGTTAGTATATTCTGTTAGGATTTGGGCTGATTCTGCAGCTTGGACTAGTTCGATTGATATCCTATCAACCCTGGATGCTTTATTCCTTCCAAGTGCTTTCAGAACAGCCTTCACTTCAATGGCCTGTACAGCAGAGGATTCTTCTTTCAACGAGTCTGCAGTCTTTTCTTCTGCAGTTTTTCCATTCATTCTTTCCACCTTCCCTCTGTTTGTCTTTCAGCATCCCTAATCTAGGTTTGAATTCCCTTTTGATTTCTAAGAGGTCTCTTGTTTTTCCTCTTTTATTTCCTCTACTTGTTGCCTTTCTTTCTTTAAACTTGCAACAGTTGCTTCTGTCTCTGCATAGCAATCACTTAAAAAGTTACATTCAGGATTCTGATCCTATTTCTGTTACTTTTTGCTTTTGCGTCTCACCTATCCTTCCCAATTGTGAGTGTTCCTTCTGCCATCCATTTAGGCTCCCTCCCCCACCTTTTGTTGCTACAGGAATTTTCTTTTTGCAATAAATTTCCCTAATAATGTCTCTGCTTTCATTCCACAGTTCTTCTGGTTCACTGCCAGGTGAGTTCAGTAATGCAAAGCTGTTCTTTATGTGGACTTTACATTCCTCAGTTAAACAACTTGTATTTTGGCACTATGCTTCAGCGAGTGATCTTTTTCAGATTTATGCTGATTTTTATTTTTATACTTCATGGCCACAAGAACAATCTGCTCCTGGCCTTGTTTTGGCATTGAAAATATAGTTTCGTCATCTCTTACTTCCAATTTTATAGTCTATTTGATTTCTGTACTGTCCATCTGGTGTACAGCCATCTGATCGGTTGCCTTTAGTATGTATTTTTAATAAACAGATGGTAAGCTTCACAGAATTCTATAAGTTGTTCTCTTTTTTCTAACCCCTGGGCCAAATTCTCCCACAACATCTGAATTTGCTTTGTTTTCTATTTTTTTGTGTTCCAGTCATCTATCATTACCAGCATATTTTGTTTCGGTGTATTAGTGATTTCCTCTTGAGCACTTGCATAAAAGTTTTCAATTTCTTCTTTAGAATCTACATATGTAGAACTGCTAATTAATTTCATTCTTAGTGCAGTATTATGATACTGAAAAATTATTTTCCCCAAACTTCTTGAATAACACCTAACATGCTGCATTGCTGGACAGAGTCCTGAATGTTTAATTTCCAAACCACATCCTTTTCAAACAAACCTGTTGCCTGCCTACCAGTCTTTTATTATTATTATTATTATTATTATTATAACATTTCTATGCCGCCCCTTGCCGAGTCTTCCCTTAGACTAATGATATTAGTCAATCAGATTTAAAACCAATCTGATTTTAAATGAAATATTGTTTTATTGTGTGTTGCTTGTGCACTGATCTGCCTGATTTTTGTTAATGTTGCTTTGCTAATAATAATAGTACCAAGTATGTATCGGGGTAGACATTCTCACTCTTAACATAACTCTGCACTGTCTGGTACCAACAACTAACAGAACAATTCCGTTCTTGTTTGCACACACATAATCCCAGGGAGTCAGCTTCCCTAAATTCAACCCATCTTACTTCTCAGTTCTGACCCAGCAGGCGTGCAAAGAATTACACTACGTGCCTGCAATTCTTTCTCCCTAGTTGCTCTTAGGGACCAAGAGCTCAGATGCCCCATTGTCTCTAAAAGGGTTTATCATTCCTAGATCCAGGCTGCAATCCCTTATGCCAAGCTAGACGGAGTGGTGGGGACCTACAACTTCCATGATGCCCAGCTGTCTTACATGTTGGAAGTTGCGGGCCTCCCCACTGCACGTCTACACATGCTTGGGGGATCACGGCGTGGTTCTGTGCTGGCAGCTTTTATTAAGTGCTGCAAAGCCTCATGAAATCCCGGGTCACGGGAGAACTGGCCATTTCGCCAGCCGGCAGCGCCCGATGCGAGGTAGAAACCGGACCCGAGCCCGCGATCGCTGCAGGAAGACTCAGCGCAGCCACCGGCTTTGCCTGGGCACCTGCGGAGAGAGGGACAGAAATCAAGTTAGCCGTGCGCGGCGGGGGGGGGGGGGGGGCGCAGCGCGTGCAGAGAACGGACGAGCACATGGGCTTTCCCACACACACGCATACACGCGTCTCTCGCTCCCTCTCACACGCTCACACTCTATAGACCGCTCCGGGAACAAATCGCCCGCTCAGTGCTCATACTGATACTCCGTCCAGCGCAGCGTTTGGCTTTTACCCCGCACGCACGGGTCACACAGCGCTGGTGCCCCCGGGGCCGCGCGCGTGCCCTCACCCAACCCCGCGGGCGCGCGGCCGCCACCTGCGAGCGAGCGAGCGAGCTCTCGCCACGGGCGCGGGCAGGGAGGCGCGCCCCCGAGCGCGCGCGAACGCACACTCCACCTCTCCGTCCACCTTTGGGCTTTGCCCCGCCCCGCCAGCGGCCCCGCCCACTCGCTCCCTTACTCCAGCTCCCTGCCCTCCCTAGCCGCCGCCGCCGCCGCTGTGCATTGTGGGACACAAACAAAGTGCCCGGCTAGGCTAGGCTGGGTTGCCCGGAGTAGGGGAGGGAGTGGGGAGCTCGGAAGCCTGGTCCCGCGCGCCAGCCAGCCAGCCAGCCAGCCAGCGCGTGAGTGGCCCCGCGCCGCCGCCGCGAAAGCGCCTGCGTACGGGCGCGCGGGCCTCGGCCTCCCTTTCTCTGCCCCCTCCTCTTTTTCAACGCCCGCGGCGCGAGCCTGGAAGAGCCAACGGCTGTGGTGGCAGCGACGGCGGCCGCCATGGCCCAACTGGGGCCTACACGGGGGCCGAGATAGGGGGAGACGGCGGCGCCTCTGGGCCCAGGGAAGGGGTCAAGAAAAGAAAACTCGAACCCTCTCCTTCTCTCTCTCTCCCTCTCTCTCAATCTCTCTCCCTCCCTCCCTTACTCACACACAAACACACGCGTGTGCGCGCGCATCAACTGGGCCCGGAGAACGAGAGGGCCTCGCCAGTACCAGGTAATGGGGGGTAAGAAAGATGTGGGGGGCGGCCTGGTGGGTGAAGGGGGTTGATGAGAAGGAGGGGAGGGTAGAGGGAGCCGCACAAGCAAGCCCCGCCCCTCCTGGCACCTGCCCCACCCCCTTTTGGCACCTGCTCCGCCCCATTTTTTAGGATGCCGTCGCCTTAGCTCCATGCACAAACACACACACCCCTGCTTTTAACTCCGTCTCTCCCTCCTTCCACCCCTTTTAAATCCCCAGTGGTTGTGCTTATCGATATCTCTCTACCCACTCTCCTCTTTCCCGCGTTGAAAACCTCTGCTATTCATTCTGATATGCTTGCATTTCAGATAAACGGTCGCACTGGGCGGGGGGGGCGGGGAAGAAGGCCCCTGCCACTAGCATGGCTTATACTCGTAATGAAAGCAACACAAAAGCGGGGCCGCAACAAAAAGGGATGGGGGACAAAATATGCATTTAGATATGTTTGTGCTTACTATGGTTGCGTATACTCAGAAGCCTTAAGTATGCTTCACATTAGGCATCTTTCCTTAAGTTTCAGGATTTATTTTCAAAACAAATATCCTGATGCCAATAAATGCCATGAGATACAGTATATTCATCACTCTTTCAAACTTGTTGTCTGTTCTCTTTTGTTTATGCAGTCTTTTTCTGTCTCTGTCTGTCCCCCTGCCTCAAAGTCTGTTATGTTTATTCTCAGAGGCTAGATTTAACCGCAGCTTAATCATTATCCACCCAATAAACTTTGAATTTACATCTCATAGTGCTTCTTCATTTTCCCCTACTTTAAATAAATAAATACACACTTTCAACTAGCTGTAGTTTGCCTTGTCTTGTACCATTTGTGGACCCAGCTTTCTATTTCACATCTTAAATGTAACATTCCTTAGCTCAAGGTATCTCTGCCTTGATCATCCTTGTCTTGTTTCACCCTCCTAAATATCTTTTCTCTGGCTCTTTCACATTTATCCAGTTAATCCCTCATTATTAAAAAGCCAATCCAGCATGGTACCTATGTATATATTCCTGCTCATTTTAATTTTTGCAAAGCAGTGTGGCATCCATGACGTTGCCTGTCATAGTTCATTTGGTTATTTTTGTTTACACAGTTGCAAATCACTGTTGCTGGTCATTTAAGTATTTTCCAAAAGTCTTCTTTCCTTGAAATTCATTCATATTTGTAGCAATTCCTAAATAACTCATTGCTTAGATTCATTTATTCCTTTTTCTCTGAACACCAGCCTATTTTGTTTTGATATACCATCATGCCCAACATACTTTGAGCCAGAAGTTCTGTGGTAATATTAGGCTAAAAGATAAAGAGGGAATTGTGTTTAGAACACTGAAAGTCAAGAGAGAGATTCTGCTGAAGATCAAGAGAAGATCAGTGGAATATCAAGTGCACAAATCTTTGTTTAAAAAACCTGCTAATAATTCAGGAAAGATGCCTTCCCTTTTGCTCTTGTTCAATCATGTTCTGTGTATGTAGAACAATTTCCTTTTGATTTCAGCTGTCCTTTCTTAATACAGTATTTTCCAATAAACAGTCTCCTCTGTAATATATGGTGAGTCGCCCCTCCAAGTGCCACCCAAACAGTTCTCCTTCTGTACGAAGTAGGACATCTCATTATACAAAGTTTATTTCTTCAACCAGTCTGTGTGGCCAACTATTTTGTTGTGTCTCTTATGACTTATATATGACTAGGCAAATTGGCATTGGCAAATTGGCAATATTGAAATTGTGTACAATAACTTGAAATTCATTCTCTGCTCAAGTCATTGGTTTTAAGGTTTTGGATGGTGTTTTGGGCTGACTTGCTTGCTTAGAGAACAATAATGTAATTTAATAGATAGTTTTCTTTGCTTAAGACTATCAGTTATAGTTCTAAGTACAAGATGCATAGAATTGTAGCCTTGAAGTATGATATAAATACTTAATTAGGCATTTTTGCAGAATGTATGGGAAGGTGCATAATACAGTTATGCAATATCACTGTTTCAGGATCAGCTTCTCAACATACAGTGTGGAGGTTCTAGTAATGAGATAATTAACATAATTAGAGCAATCTACTATGCACTAAATAAGTTTATATTTATTATGTTCAGAGAGGCTTCTGAGAACATACGTATGTGGTTTATGCCATAAGGCCACAAAGGTTAACTGAGTATCATTCCAAACAGACAGGACTTAGAAGAATAGCCAAGGGATAGCTGCCTCATAGAGAGCTTGGTCTAAAAAAAAAGTGTAGAAATAAAGAGGAGCTTCTTTGCAAGTCAGCTGAACAAATAATCTAAAGTCCTGCTCATACTTTGTTTTACAGGCAATGGATTATTTAGGAATACAGAATTTAACAGTATTGTTCTCTGAGTTTATGTTGAAATTAACAATCCTTGTTTATACTGCAAATGGGTTTCTTTGGCACATTAGTCATAGTATGTTGAGTCTGGTCTTCTGTTACTTTTGGGCCAGTGGCTAGTTGAAATAAATTCTAGAGTCAATCCACCTATGCATACCCACACTAAAATCATTATTTAGTTTCTGTTATTTGTTCAAGGATAAACTACAGATGTTTTCAGAAATGGTATATGGGCATTTTCCCTGAAACAAGAGATATTTTAGAAGCATGTCTACATGTGTTGTGGTAGTAGGCTAAAAAATAGAGACTTTCTTATTCCTCATTCATTCTTTGATCAGTAATGATATTCTTTTGTCTAGTGCCACAAGTGAATAAAGTGCCAGTAACTCTTTAACATCTTCTAGAATAAGATACTAGAGACTGTACAATGGAAGAGTCTAGTGGTATAGAAGTAATGGTTTTGATTATATTGCTACAGATTGAAAAGATATTTACTCTCTTGCTTGCTTTCTATTGCTTTCTTGAAGACTGGCAAAGTTGTAGCGCTGGACCAGATGGTAGTAGCAACGGTCAGCCAGTATAAAACAACAACATATGATATGAGGAAGGAGACTGTCAGTGGCCAGTAGTCTTGCTATGTCTTACCTCCTTTACCAGTTGCTTGTGCCAGGAGCAGGTCTTGCACCCATTCTACTTGAGGGATCCTGTGGGCAACTGGTTTGCCACAGTGTGTGTGGAGTACTGGACTAGACAGACTTTTGCCATGGTTTTTCTTATGTTCTTATATGACCCTCTTAACACTGTGATCTGTTTACACCATAGAATAGTTTCCTCAAGTGCTCATTATCAGTGTTTTATTTATTTCCTAGAAAGCGAGGCATTGCAGCATTAGAGGTGAGTGTGAAGAAGTTTAATTCATGCCCATCTTGATTTTGCAACCCAGATACTTATCGTTATGTAAGTCGCTAGTCTAAGAATTTTATCCCTTTTCCAAGTAACTGGGTTCTTTTCCTTGCAATTATTTTGTGCAGTAGGTTTAACTAAGATAGTGACCAGGCAAGAGAGCCAGTGAGATTCATTGTTGACTGAGGGTTTGAATCTGAGTTTTCCATGCTCAGTTCCATTTGCTCAGGCCACTACTTCAACATAGTATAAAAGTATAATATAACATAATGAGCTACTGTAGGCTATTGAATAAAGAGACTTCGCTTCCAATCAGAAAGTTTCAGTAAACTCAAACAGTAAACTCATACAGTATAGGGGCAATACTGATTTGCATTTTAGGACTGTTGTTTGGTTTGCAACTAGGTAGTACACCACTTTGGATACCTGAACGCATTATACCAAAGTATTATCTATACATTATTAGAATCACTTTAGTTGTATAAAATACAGTTCAGGTGTTACAGTTCAGTAGTAGAAGTATTCTGAGATACGTTAGTAGTAGCCTCATTCATGTCTAAAATTGTTCTAGAAAGACTAAATGTAGAAGAGATACATTTTGCTCCTTGTTTAGAATAGATCCAATTCAATAGCTACATAGAACTTCACTAAGTGCAAGATGCATTTAGCCTACTGCCTTCTAGTTAGATTTCTAGAGAAATTCAAAGGCAGGTATTTAATATGTAGGGAAAGTGATAATAGCTCGTTTACTGTCATGCAAATAGAACAGGTTACATAAGAACATGTTCCTCTTCTTTTCTGCACAATAGCCCTGTCCATCTAGTACTGGTGCAGGAGGAGAAAGGCAACTGAAACAAAAGCAGACAGCTCTGTCTTGCTGGATGTGTGTGGGACAAGCCTTCTGTATATATTTAAAGCTGAAAACAAGCAGATTTATAAGAAATTCCATTGATCAAAGTTGGAAATACTAACCATTTCCTAAACTTAGTTATTTGGAATTAGGGGTTTTTACAGTGTGGTTTGTCTGCTGCTGTTGATGTTGTATTAACATAAGCCAGAGCTTGTGCAATGCAAATAACACAGCAGGAAAAGGTGCTGATTTGCCATCTTTTGGTTTATGCTAGTGCAACATCATTCGCACTAGCATTGTGACACCACTGACTGCTACCCTAGGTTTCTGTGTAGTGAAACTGAAGCAGAGGGTGTTTGCTCATTGATTTAAAGCAGAGCCAACTGGCTTATTTCCAATATTAATTTAGTTATTAATAAATGCCAAGTTGCAGTTGGTAGAGATGTTGCTTTTGACCATTTGATACATTCAGGTAAAGAAACTCTAGTTGACCTTTGAAAAACCCTCATATGCCCTGAAAAATACTTTATTCCATTGAAATTTAGTTTCCAGTGGTCAGCTGTTCTGCCATTGGATTTTTGATTTGTCCATAACCACAAGCCATGGAATGTCAATGGAAAGAATTTAGAATTTCCTGCTAAACAGCAGCTTCTAGAGCAAAGGATTGTGTTTGTAGGCACCTTGGCTTTTATGATTAACATTCAGCACATAGTTTTAAAGTCAGCATAAAGTGGCTGCTATGTTAGATTTACCTACTACTATACAAATAGCATAGCAAAAAGGTGGGTTCACATGACGAGGGAAGAAAAATAAGCCACCGTAGCCTGCTGGTTACATGCCACTGAATTACTATAATCACCAGGTGGCCATTTCCTCAAGAAGATGGT